CACACACACACACACACACACACACACACACACACACACACACACACACACACACAGGCTGCACAAAATCACATGCCTATAGATGGATCCAGTGCCCATTCATTGCAACGTTCTAGTCTCTTGGGTCACATGGTCTGTCCTGTTTACTCCACCTGACCAAAGCCTGTGCACAGTTGTATTGCGAAGTGGCATTAAAATGGACAAAAAGGATAATTTTTTATGGCTGTAATGTTATTTATAAACACAACTTGTCTGCTACATTTTAGCCCATGCTGTTTTTCTTCCAGTAAACAAATGCCTTCATCCTAATCATCGAGCAATCTGAAATGGCTCAGTTAGAGAGTACTGTATATTCTTGTTTAGTAAAAAAAAAAAAAAAACATAGTTCTTGTATTTTTTACTTCACACTGTACCTATTTCCTCCTATTAAAAAYACAAAGAGTGACTAATAAGAACAGGAAATGTTGCTCCTGTTATAACGTCGTWACACCATAAACTGTCTGCATAATGGTTCCAGTTTTAAGTCATCATGCAGCATAGTATTATAGACTGTCACACTACAGAATGGGAGAACTGTGCTCCTCTCCACCTTTCACCATAAATTTAAGGGAGCTAGGGAATTAGGTGTCCACATGCAGCTCGAAAAAAAGGCACCTACTGCTCACTATAGACACACTTTCTTTGTTTTGCTTTCCTTGTGAAATTTAATTTCTTAAAGAGCAGAGTTTTTTATTTTGTGTTCTGTGTAATGAATGTGTTTGTGCACATTACTGTGTGTGGCTTGTTGCTGCCTATCTGTCAGACGTGCAGTATGTCACTGTATTACTCTACCTATCACTTTCCCTCTCTCTTTCTCACTTCCCTCCCTCCCCATCTCGCTCTATCCCCCTTTTTTTCCCTGTCTGTTTGAGTGAGCATGCAGAGTGATCCAGGGAGTTAATTACAGTGGGTGCCTGTCAGGCTGGAACAAAAACCCTGCACAGACAGCATAACTCGGGCGGCAGAAACCAGACTGGTTCATCCCAGTCATCCCAGACTGGTTCAGCCCTGCCAGGCACACAAGACTAGAGCAACAATCAGGACGGAAGTTAAATACGAAGAACCAAGTGAAATGTTTGGCAGTTTGTTTTCTTTGGCTACAAGACCTTGTGAATTTATATTTACCAACTTTACACACAGTGGCATGCTATTTTTGTATYCTCCCTCTATGAAACGGAGTCAGGACCCTTTCTCTATGCAATTACAACCCTCAGTATGGCCATAGATATAATTATGGATTCATCATTCAAAAGGATGATAAATTATCACTTCTTGTTATCAGCTACCTACTTTATTTCAGAAATAGTTGCTGTTTAGGATAATCATTGTGTACTAACATTTTTTTTCTGATAATACCTTCTACATTTGCTGTGGTGAATGGGGAAAAATAGGACTTTGGGATAATTTTGGTTGCTTTTCATGATAAAGGATCAGTTACCGGTAAGTTAGACCAAAAAAATAAAACACGAACCRTATTATTCATCTGTGACTAACATACTGTAGATACAAAGTCAAACAGACTACAGCTACAGTGACCAGACCAGACTGGAATTAATCTAACTAAACTGGCCAGACACACGTTAATGCAGGTTATTGACAAGTGTCCCTAGTCTGTATCTAGTCCCTGAGGCTGAACACATCCTCTTGCCACAGTCATTATTACCTAACTGGCAACAGGAAAAATTCAATTAACTTTCTATTTTTTTTACAACAGAAACCACACAACACCCCCATTAACGTTAGTCTTAACAGGAATGAATAAACCTGAAACATTTACAAAAAAAACATTGTGTTACATGGATCTAATTTAGGGTTAATCCACTAAATCTTTTGGTTTGACTTTGTTATAATCGAGAAATTGTGTTTCTTCCAGTAGGCCATCTTGACATAATGCCTATTTTGGATTTGTGATGCAACTTTAGCACTTTGAGTTTTTTTACACTTTGYGTTATTTGATGGTTATTTAAAATGAGTTTTGTGTGTAGAGTATAGRCTAAAGCCATTTAAAGATGTTTGCGAAGTGATCATGAGCTTTAATCTGGCATGTAGGCCAGCCTTTTTGGAGCAATCAGTCTTGTTAGTTAGAGCTGTTGTAGCTTACAGTAATGTAATCCCAGCCATCCACCACCTTGGATTTTAAAACGCTGACACACTTAAACTTATGCAGCTTAACAATGTGCTGCTGACAAACTAATTAATTAATGTACAAATAACTGCAAACAACTACAACAACTTTTTTTTATTGACAGTTCTTTAAATCAACCTTGTTTACCCCACTGTGGCTCCTTCAGGGGAGAGTGCAACCTGAAAATAACCCCTGTGACATCTGACACTTTTGCAGTGTTTGCCAAAATAGATGTTTTAGGGCCTACATGTTTTGGTATTCATGAGCCTAGCCTCTTAGCATTTACCAAATGTGCCTTGTAAGCCATATTTTGTCCATTTAGCCCAGTGTTTTATGAGGCTGTTTTACAACCTATAGCTTGACCTTCTGCTCTCCCAGTTGTCTTAGGTCTTAATGTGTTTTCTAATTAGTAGCAGTTTCTGTAGAGGCAATATATACAGGATTTTTTTTTAGACAAAATAGCAGAAATGTCCAGAAAACATAAACTATAATCAAAAGAGTTAAAAAATCTGAATAAAGTAAAGCAGGAGGCTAAGAAAGAGAMGTACAAGTCTTCACAGCTTAGTTAAAAGTAGCAGTGACAGTATTTTGAACTAAACGAGCTGTCTTTTCACTGCACATGCCCTGACACATTTATCTGCTTAAGTTAACAAGAAAAGGTTCATAGGTAAAACAGATATTAATGGTAATTTTAGTCTGTATTTTCTCCACCAATATAATTGTTGTCAGATGGGGAGTGACCTCTGCATTAAGCAGAGAAAGTAGCTCTTAGAGCATAATAATACTGTAGAAGCACACAGAGCAGTTTCTGGAGCCTTTGAAAGAGAATGTGTGAAACTTTTCTCAGTCAGTGCTGATATTAGCCAGCCTACATGTTAGACTCACCCCGAGTTCCTAGCACTGACTGGATCACACTATTTTCCCTCATAACCCTGAGTCACATAGACAGATGGAAGAGCTTTTCACAACAAACACAGTTTTTCTTTTGTTAGTCTTGACAGAAAGCTGACACACAGACACACTCACCTTATGGCCTCTGATCTTGTTATTTTTAATGTGCATTTCAAGAACARAACAGGCAGGGTATAAGTTATATTTATCTTGTTGCAGTGTGGAGATTGGAGTTCACTACCAATTACCCACCAACTCTCCTACGCGGGAAGAGAGAGTGAGGATTTATTGCAGTGTAGGGTCCTCAAGTTCTAGTTATTTTTTCTTCTAATCCTGTGAAAGCAATGACATCAGTTTTTTAAATATCACATCTACAAAACCAAAGTTGTTAGTAACGCCAAAGGCCATTTGAGTCATATTCAACAGAAGGGGTGTAAGAAAATATCGATACACTRAAATATCGCGATATTTCATTTCCCGATACTGTATCGATATTTAATTAAGGTTTAAAATGTCAACTTTCCTGCCAGCCATTCATTTTTATGTTGTAGTTCAGCCTCTGACCACTAGTTGGCAGCAGTGAGCCAGCCATTTGGCTCCTCTACCTCTTGAGCACCAGAGASTAAGTGTAGCATTAGCATTGTAAGTAAACATTAGCTTCATGCTCCGATAGCAGAATCTGAGCGGAAAAGACCGACACCCTCTGCCTTCTAAATTAAGTGTCTYGTGCGCTCTTTTTTCCAACTTTAGTCAGCCTTCACGTTACAGAAGGCTAGCGCATGTCTATGTAATAGAATTTTCTGAGACAATGAATTTTGGTTTTTCATTTTTTTCCAGTAAGAGGTATTTATTTAATAGAATTTTTGGACCAAAAAAAAATAGCAATGTATCGCAATATTTCACCTTGCTTACAGTGTCGCAATATATCGGGATATATCGTATCGTGACCCATCTGTCATGATATGTATCGTATCGCCAAATTCTTGCCACTACACAGCCCTATTCAACAGGGTTTCTTTAAGACAGTAACACTCAGTCACTCAGATTTTGCTTCTTTCAGACACTGGCAGTGGCATAAAAAGCCTCATGAAATTAGTCGTTCACACAATGTTTAATAAAAGAATCTAATAAATACAAAAGTATTAGTTATATCTGATATATCTCAGTTTTCTTAGAAAAATATCTTGTCAATTTTTCAGTTCAGCAAGCTTGATAGTTGTGTAAAAGRTACTCATTTCAGTTAGATTTAGAAAAAATATAATTTACATATTTAAACTCAAYAGACAGAGCATGTTATAAAGCGCATGATTTCTGTCGTTCTCTTAACATTTTATAGCAATTATACAATAATAATATAGTTATTTTTACATTGAGAAAAATCCTGAATTTTTACTTYAAATTAGAACATTCTCTCTATCGTCTGGGTTTTTGGGGTGTATGTGATTGTCTGTGTGTTGGTGTGCAGTTGATTTGTCCCAACAACATTAGACCGATTCATTTAGGCACTAACTGCACTCTTTGTGACCTTTGTTGACCCTGCGGCTGTCTGATGTGACACTCAGTAAGACACAGTAGATGCTGAAGAGGCAGCAGACAGAGAAACACAAGCATGTTTTCTTATTACATTGTATCTGACAGTAAGCGAGGGATGTGGATGAGTCAGAAAAAAAAGCACGAGCTCAAACAGAGGCAGTACATTGTGACAAAATAAATCRCACTTTGCTACATAAAGGACTTTTGGTTGCCGGTCATAAAGTAAAAGTTGAGTTCTTGAAAAGAAGACTGAGAAAACACAGGGAAAACTTGGGCCAGGAGTATTAAGATGTAAACGTGGTTTAACACACAAGCAAACCYGYATGTCATTGTAATGTGAGGTAGCTCGTGTTAAATGAACAAAGTWACAAGAGCTGCCCATAACAGGGTAGCTTATTCTTAGACGCAGCAGATCAACCAGGAACAGACTTTTTGTTGACACTAATTTAATTCCCAGTTTAAAGAGGAGGGGTAAAGGGATTGCCTTCTTCACAAGCATTTCCAGAAAAGGACACTGAAAGACAGTGCACTGAGTATAAATAAAACCATCGGCAGTGTTGGGAAAAGAAGCAGACGTGTCAAGCATGAGAGCAAACAAACATTTATATAGATAGACATAATGACGAACGATTGCATTACTTTCATAAAATACTGTATTTTTACACCTAAATATCTGCCTGGCAACTCATCTATAATGGGATTTGAAWACAGCAAAAAAGCTCAGCATCAATAGAATCGATCAGTGGAAAGCCAATGTTACGATTACTTCTATTTATAGTGAGGTCTGCTTTTGACATGACAATGACTGCTACAGGATTTTCTCACAGATGTATAGTTAAACACATTGTCCTGTTWTAGAGTTTGTTCCCATTTGCTTTTACATGTTGACTATATTTGAGGAAAAATGTTTCTTTCTGTTTATTTCTCTACAAAAACAGGATGCTAAACAACAAGCAAAAGGCTAATTCATTATTTTTGGTTATTTTATAGCAACTGTACTTTCTAGTGGAAACATTTAAGCTTTTCTTGTTAAAAAAAAGACTTAATTTGTTAGCGTTGTGTTCACTATTGAATCACATTACAGTCATATAATTATGATAAAAATGTATTTTTATTGACAGAAAATGTTAAAATGTCTGTATTTTTTGCTTAGTTTTAGACCTCTAAATGTTTAAGAAATCTAATCAGAATCATACAAATTGATTTTGAACAAGAGTTGAATTATGAAATAGGAAAAAGCATTATTTTATACTAGAGAAAAGTGCATTTTCACTACACAACAGTTTAATAAATAACCATTTTGCTAGTCTTTACTTTTCGAATGATTCTGGTGGCCGTTTCTTCAGGTTGCCTAATGCCTTAAATTCTGCTTCATTCATTCTGTGCGACATATTGAAGATGTGGCAGATGCAGTATAGATGTGTTTATTAAGCCACAGCTTGGGTGTTGGCCTAACTCTGCTGCAATTTTACATTGCTAGTGCCATCTAGAGGCAGCAGGGGTCGATGTGCAGTTGTGAGGTATACTTGTGTTTTGAAATTTTAAGTAGAATAGTGGGAAAGCCCTCTTTATTGACTTATTGTGATGCCTTTGTTGCAGTTTTATTAAATATGAAAGACAATGTTAACACTGAAACAATATAACTTAGCATGTACCACCTTTTCTTAGGACCGCAAGCTGACCAAGGCGGAGCAACAGCGCTTCAAGGAAGAGGCAGAGATGTTAAAAGGGCTTCAGCATCCCAACATAGTTCGCTTCTATGATTCATGGGAATCTGCGCTCCGGGGGAAGAAATGCATTGTACTGGTCACAGAGCTTATGACTTCAGGAACACTCAAAACGTTTGTAYAAAATCTGTTATTTTCACTTCTTGTAATGTTTAAGTCCCTGTAATTGTTACTGGGGTTTTCATTTTGTCTTAAGTATTAAAAAAATCCCTTGGATGTCAAATCAATATTACTCTATATTCCCATTTTCTTATGGCTGAAGCCTGTCCTAGCTGAATAGACCATCAGTTCTCTAAATATTAATAACCATTCACATTTRCACCTATGCTCAATTTTGAATCCTCAGTATGCCTAACATGATTCATGAAGATAGTACATTGAATTCAAGAGTAGTTTGTGACTATTTTTTGGACGTTTACAGTACAGTATTATTTTGAGTGACTCCATTTGTGCTGTCTGAACAGTTACCTGAAGCGGTTTAAGGTGATGAAACCCAAGGTTCTAAGAAGTTGGTGCAGGCAAATTCTGAAGGGCCTTCACTTCCTTCACACCAGGACTCCGCCGATTGTCCATCGGGATCTTAAATGTGACAACATCTTCATAACAGGCCCCACAGGATCAGTCAAGATAGGTGACCTGGGACTAGCCACTCTAATGAGGACCTCGTTTGCCAAAAGTGTCATAGGTAGGTTGCATCTGTGGACCAATTACTTCTAAGAACAATTACAGAAAACGAGTTAAACTAGGTCAACAGGTGTGAGTTTTTCCTTATTAWATTGTGAGCATGGTGAAGTAGGTTGTTACTAAGAGCTAGCATCTTGTCCAAACAGGAACCCCAGAGTTCATGGCACCAGAGATGTACGAAGAGCACTATGATGAGTCTGTGGATGTGTATGCCTTTGGGATGTGTATGCTGGAGATGGCTACTTCAGAATATCCCTACTCGGAATGCCAAAATGCTGCTCAGATCTATCGCAAAGTCACAAGTGTGAGTGCTTCTGATTGATTAGCCCTATTCAGTCAAACAATGCTAGATCAAATTTTATAAATACAAATTATTTCCCATTTATTTTTTCTACAGGGTATAAAGCCAGCCAGCTTTGATAAAGTAAATGATCCAGAAATCAAAGAGATAATCGAAGGCTGCATACGTCAGAACAAAAGCCAGAGGTAATCAGATTTTAGTTTCATAACATGACTCCTTCTTGCTAATTTATTGATTTATTTAACGTTAACTGTTCCCTCTTTTGCAGACTCTCTATCAGGGACCTCCTGAACCATGCATTCTTTGCAGAAGACACAGGGGTCCGAGTAGAGCTGGCAGAGGAAGACACGGGCACACAGGACTGTCTGGCCCTCAGAATTTGGGTTGAAGATCCTAAAAAGCTGAAGGGCAAGCACAAGGATAATGAGGCCATCGAGTTCAGCTACGATCTGGAGAATGACAGTGCTGAGGAAGTAGCTTTAGAAATGGTAAGCCATGGGTATAATTTATGGCTGATTACACACAAGGTTCTTATTATATAATATATATAATATTATATATAACTTATTTTGGGAAAACCTTCAGCTCATTTGTTTGCCACCTCAGAATTCTTATTGTCGACCCAGAACTTTATCTACTTATTATTTAAATACATTGTTTGTGTCTATCCCTCACTTATTACAGGTGAAGTCAGGTTTCTTCCATGAGAGTGATGCCAAGGTGGTGGGAAAATCCATCCGGGATCGTGTGAATCTGATTAAAAAGTCCAGAGAGCGTAGACAGCAGCAACTTCTTCAGCAAGGCCTCGACGAACGCAGAGACTCCACTATCACCTCCTGCCCATTGTCTTATCCCTCCTGCCCTTCCTCACTGATGCTAGGGGCTAGCGGTCTTACAGGAGTTGGAGAAACAGGAGCTGGAGGAGTAGTTCAGAAGTCTGAGGAGTTGCCTGAAGTAGACCAACATGTCAGGCAGCGACACATATTTAACGCGACAACCCTTTGCTTGCCAGGTATCTTTTTTTAAACACAGCATTTTAAAACAAGTGACATTGTAAAACTAAATAAAAAGCTTAATATACTGGTTTTGTGTTTTAAACTATGTATTTTTAAATTACCTTTTGCTCAGAAGGTGAAAGCCATGGATCTGCCAGCTGTGAATCTTATGCAAGTGGACAGAGCCAGGCACACTCTCAGCAAGGGGAATCATACTCCCACTCGCAGATTACTCTCCCTCTCATGGCTGTAGGTTCATGCTTCATGTTATTGATGAATTACAAAAATCTGCACCATTTTATGTCAATGTTGTGATAAAATACATTGTTCATCACCTATTTTGTGTTTTATAGAGCACTGCTGCATTGGCTAATCCTCAGATGCTCAATATTGGTGAGAGTGGAAGTGGTCCAAATGTGCCTTTTGGTCAGAGTGTGACCATGTCCAACATGCCCATTAGTAATAGTGAAGGGGGTCCTGGTGCCCAAACATTTCTTCAACCCAATGCCATGGTTCCACAGGTCTCACCAAGTGTACCTCAGCAATATTTTCAGGTGAAAGGATGAAAATACATGTGTGTGTATTACATATTGAAATGAAAGCCATGTTTACTCAGGGTCATTTAACATTATTCCTAACTGAAGTAAAATAATGGATCCACTGTACTGCTTCATTTAGACTCCATCCCCTTTCCCTTCAGTTATTATTAAATGTCAAATAACCCTCATACTGTCACAGTTCTTTGAAATTGATAATGCACAGGGTTTCCCCCAGGAAGGTATTGGGCCGAAGTAATGAGATTAAAGAATTGAAGAAGCTACTGTATATGGCTTTGTGAAGTGAAAAGTTGCTTCTTTCACTTTTAAATATTTTTATCTTCCTGATGTGGAAGACTGGGATCGATAAAGTATTTTTGAATTGAATTGAAGTGTAATCTAAATTGAACACGTCTAAACAGTCAACTTCTTTTATAAACACTGTGGGAAACTTTGTTGTTAAACGTTAATGTGCACATGATTTATGCTCCTTGCTTATACTTAACCTAATTTTTCTACTGCTTTCTCCCCCACCCTTCCCTTCTTTCATCTCTAATCATCATTCTTTCATTATCATTGAATAGTCACAAACATTTCCATCAGATGCTTTTCAAACTGCCACTCCCCATGGGTCAGCGGCCCACTCGCAGTCATTTATACCCCCTGTTTCCCCACAAGCACCCATTAATGTTTTCACTACACCCATGCCAGTCAGTGATACTATTGGACAAGCAGGGACCATTGTGCCCCACACTCAGCCGATTCAACACCCTGCTACACCCATGCAGCTTACTGATATCATTACCCATGCTGTACCCCCACAAACACAACCTGCCATGATCTCACAGCACTCCATTATCCCACAACAACAGAAAAGGATGAATTCCCAGACCTCTACTGTACAGCAGCAGCCACAACAGCAAACGGAGGCCCAGGTGACTTTTGTTGAACAAGTTGGTGCCATTCAGCTGCCACCAGGACAGGATCAACAGAGCCTTTCAGCTGCAGCTATCCAGAAACATCAGCTGGAGCCTGAGCAACAGACGTTTGCACGGCAGCCCGTTCAACATGTCCAACCTGCTTCTCAGCAGCATGTGATGACTACACAAACAGGTGTGACAGTACCACAGCAGCCAACAGAGCAGCCTCAGGCTTTGAAACAGCAGTTGTATGTACAGCAGCAACAAACGGTACTCGTTCAACAACAGCAGCAACCGCCTCAATACAAACAACTCGTGGAGCAGCAGCAGCAAGGTTCTGTGCAACAAGAGCAATCCATACAGGCATACTTACAACATACGTTAGAGCAGCAACAACTACAGCATCTTCCTTTACAGCAACAGCAGCAAAGCCAGTCATATCAACAAACTGGACAACACCAAAGTCGAACAAAATCAGAAGCAGACATACAACGGCAAAGTGGAGAGCAGCAGCAAACAAATATATTGCAGCTACAACTGCAGCAGACACATCAGACAAATGAACAACTGCAACAGCAAAATGCAACCCAACAGATGGAGCAACAGCAATTAATACAAGATTTGCAAAAGCAGTTCATTTTAACACAGACACAGTTACAGCAGAAAGCTCAGCTGCAGCAACAAGCGCAGCACCAAGTGCAGCTCAAGCAGCACATGGAGCAGCAGCAGCAAGTTCTGTTGCAACAACAGCATCAGCAACTCTTGTTACAGCAGCAACAAGCAGATTTATTACAGCAACAGGCTCAGATGAAGCACCAAATTAAAGAACAGCAGCAGCAACAAGCTGTCATTATTCAACCTCAAACTGAAAAACAGGAACCTGTACACGTTCCACAAAGCAGTCATGAGCTGCAGATTCAGCAGCAAGCTAATTTACAACAGTTAGGTAACCCACAGCTAAACATCTGTCAGTTCACCCAGCAGCAGCAACCAGTTGTTGCCCAACATCATCACCACAGCTCCAAGTTTGAACCACATCTTTCTGTTGGTGTTCCAGGTGGCACTGAAACAATTCAGCACCAAACTCATGTAACCTCCCCAACCCAGGTCCCAATGACTATTCAGACTACACAGGTTCATCCTCAAAAACAGGAACAGTTCCCAGTCCAGTTATTAGCTCAGTCAATATCCCAAGCTTCTCAGCCTTCTACTGAAACCAGCGTGACTTCCCCAGTAGCAATGATCCCGGGACAAATGCAGCAAATGCAAGTCTACCAGACCCCACAAGTTCAATTGCAAGCTAATTATCCTGGACCTGTAACTCCCACACAGGGTCAGGTAGCGGTTCAGCCATTAATCCAGACTCATCCTCAACATGCAGCTGTTCTCCAGGCCCAGCAAATACCTGGCCACATCCCAAAAGTTGATATTCAAATGATAGGCCAACAAAACCAGAGTACAGCTCAATCCTTAGCTGCCGTTGCTTCAGGTTTTAGTCCCATACACCAGGAAACTTGTAGTCAGCAAAATGTTCAAATTCCAAACCTCATCCAGTCCAATCTCCAGCAGGAGGCTCAAGGTCAGCCCCCCTACCAAGTGCATCCACAGCCCACGGCTGGCTTTTTAATCCCCCATTATGTCCCACAACCTACTCACCAAAGCATACCGTCCTTGCTGCACGATATGCCTCATATTTCACAGCAGCAAGTGCATCAGGAACAAGCACTCCAGTACCAACAGATTGTTCTGTCTCCAGGGTTGGCTGGGAGTGTTGAAACTAAAACTGGTGGTCTAGCAGTTGACCCTACTCGTCTTCTCACCACTTTTCATCCTATGCAAGTTGGACAAGGAGAAGTTTTAAGCCAAACCACATCCCCTCAAATTGTTCAGGCCCAACAACAGTCTACAAGAAGCTCTGTTGATTCCTCTCTCATTCAGCCCGTGTCTCAGTCTTTGATGTCTCTGTCTGTAGAGCCTTATCAGCAGCAACTGCAGAATTTGTCTCAAGTGCATCAACCACCTGCCCAACCTTCCATGCACCCTCAGTTACTGGCCCAGACGGTTCAAATTCCTACCCCACAACCATCTCCTGTAAAGCAGGATTTAGTAATGCTTGCCAATGAGGGTCAGCTTCCTCCTCAGTGTCCCACTACTTCACATGCAGTGATTCAGCCCTCTGCGCTGATGGGGGCCAGTAATGTTGCTGAGGCTCAGTCGCAGAGCAGCACACTGCCTCTTTACGGTCATCTAATAGTTGGTGGTCCTCCATCTCCACAGTCTCAAGCCAAACAGATGCTGCCAGCTCATGCACATACTCTAACAAGCAATCAAGCTCAAACACACTCCCAAACACAAACACAAGTTCACCCACAAGCTCATTCTCAAACTCAGACGCACAACGAGTCTGCTGTTCCTGCACAACAAATGCCCCATGGCAATACCTCGTGTCCCTCAGCACCACCACCATCTCTCCCACCCCAGCATCCTTCCCCAGCCCCTGCTACAGAGCTTTCTACATCTCCACCTGTAACCCAGGTCGCCTTAAAGAGGCAGGCCGAATTCATTCCCACCTCTCCTGCACCCATCACTGCACTACAAATGCTTGACTCTAATGTCCCCAAACTGCCCCAAGCCTTGCTGCAAGACTGTGACATTTCTCTACAGGGCGTCAATCAGGTACATCGAATACAAATGTTTTTCTTTTAAATAACTTTTTTTAATGTATTGGTTTAATGAATAATGCTAATTTCTAAATATTTGAAAAGGTTTTGTCTTTTCCTTTTTTTAATTAAACTAACAGTCTTATTTCTAATAGTTATCTGGTCAAGCTGAAGTCATTTCTAAGGTTTTCAGTAAAATTTAACTGCACTAACAACCACTTTAAAACTGGAGTCATTTATTTCATCATTTAACAGTAACAGACAGCAAAGCAGTCATACAAATAGAACTTTAGCATATATGTGTTCTTGCTAAATTGTRTTATATTTAATTTCCATTCTGCTTTTCTTGGTACATATAAACAAAAAAAAACTCAAAAAAGTACACTTGAATCTACCTTGTAATAATTTTATTTTAATTTATCTAATACATTAAAACTGTCAAAATAAGTATGTTCAAGGTAATGTTTTATGAGTGAACACCAAGACTCAATAAAGCTTTATCAGAATGCTTAAGTGCTTACAGCTCTGTGTGTGTGTGTGTGTGTGTGTGTGTGTGTGTGTGTGTGTGTGTGTG